GAGTAATTTCACAAAAAATAATTGAATATCAATTCAATAAAAATTTAATTCATTAATTTTTATTTAGCTTTTGAAGCTCTTATATTTTAATTGTTATATTTTGTTCCACTGTTAAAATTGCGTACAAACGTAGAGTCGGAAGGACAAAGTCTTTTTCAGAAATGTGATTTTTGAGTGGTTTCATTAATTTCCATTCGTTGTACACTGAAGGGCCTCGAGATTAACAGAGCTGTGCTCTTCAGACCGGGTCACAAACTGAGTGAGATCCTATTGGACGCGCCACCACATTCACACGGCAATGTCTCTATTTTCTAACCGACTTTCAATAATTTCTGTACTAAAAAAACCGACCTCAAAAGTCATTCATCCCCCAGTTTGCCTCCCTTAGAGATGGAATATTTTCTTCAAATTGAAATGGGACCACTCCTGAGGTACCCTTTTTCCAACAAAAAAAGAATCATCAAAATCGGTCCAAAAATTTTCGTTATTATATTATATTTCGTTATTATTATAATCGGAGTTATCGCGTAACATTCCAAACCCACAAACCCTGTATCGTGCGTACCATGGACACATACACATACACAACCACAAATTACATCCAAACTCACGAGATAAATAAATGTAGGCCATACAAATATTTCTCCCGGCCCGGGAATTGATCCCGGGACCTCTGCGTGGCAGTCGAGCATGATGATCGTTCGGCCACGGAGTTCCGTTAACCGATTTCAATAAAACTTGGTTCATGGATGTAAATGAAAATAAAAGACAGCGAAAACGCATATGAGCAGCGATTTTTAACAGCGATGCAGTAGCAATGCAATCGCTAATCAGCAACTTCTACACACACGTGCGATTTTAAGCAGAGATACAAACATTTTTGAGGTCGATTTTGTTTTTTATTGAAAAGTCATTAGATTATTGTTTTGTTCTTTACGTCGTGTCATAGCGTGCTATAATAAATGTTTTTTCCTTAATTAAATTTGTTTCCCTATAAATTCTTTCGATTCGTTTTTTGGTCATATAACAAAAAGTCTTCGAGAATTCTCTGAGTCTTACCAATAGGTTTATATAAGACCATAATCTGGCGTCTCAACAATATGATTGACAATATTCTATTGGATGTAATACGATTGTGATCAGTTAATAATCTAGGTTAGTCAAGTGACCCTAATAGGACTTCCTGGCTTCTCGAGAACTCGACAGGACATTAAGGGAATGGTAATTTCCATTCGAAATACTTGTGTATTAAATACATATATATACAATGATGTCGATATTCAGTGGCAGAGCTATCAGATTTTGAAAGAATTTTTTTGTTGGTGTAGGTACGGAATGAATGTTATTTACTTGACTGCGTTCTTTGTATTCTCCTGTAATCTCTTTTTGGCTTGCTAAGCACTGTATATTGTTTCATGTAGGTGGAAATTCGTAAATGGCATTGGATTACTCATATTTAAGTTTACTATAATTGTATTATTTGTCCGTGAATTTTCCTAAAATGTATAAATAAATAAAATAAAATCATTTTTATTTAATACATGACAATTAGCTATCTACTTATGAACGAGAGTATAAAATTATTTATATCGTGATTTTTATGATATTAAGAGCTGGATGAATAAGTCGCCTGGTGTTAAGCTACAGCGCTTTTTTTATAAAAAATAAGTGCGCATTTGACCTCCATCTCACCTGATGGAAAGTGAGGATGAGGTCGAGGATGTAGCAGTTACAGTGCCACTCATAGCTTACAAAGACCTGACCTGCGTCCGTCACCCTGAGGTATAAGTTGACACGAACCTTGTGCCTGTAATTTCACCAGCACCCTTACCCTTCAAAATCAAAACACAGTAATCCTTACGTTGCTCCTTGGCGGCAGGAATAAGTAAGGCGGCAGTACTTCCCTGGACGAACTCTTTCACAAGAAGCTTTACTGCTACTAAAACAACTGCTACTCTGTTTTCTCAATTCCATAATTTACGAGATACAACAGTATTAGGTTTCATGTGCGATTTGTTACATCTCATAAGGACGCGTATCGTCTTCCGATTTCGCAACCGGGGATTATCGTGTCACATGCAATGGATTTTTTGAGTTTCTGATTCAGTCCTCAAAATCGTATTACTGTCTATTATCCACAAAATCGTAGTATTCTGCAATAAAGCGTTATTTTATTTAAGCACGAGTTCGCTCATGAACGTGCTCTAATAAGCATCCCTCCTTGCCTTCCAGTTTGGGCTACCAGTGTCCCCTTACCTACAATCCGACGGACTATTTCATCAAACTGCTGGCGTTGACTCCAGGCTCAGAGTCTGCCTCCCGCCAGGCCATCAAGCGCGTCTGCGACTGTTTCGCCGTCAGCGACGCCGCTAAAGAGTTAGACATGGAAATACACTTAGAATTTCATCTTATGGACCATGATAGCAAGGTGATCAAGATTTATATATACTTAGCGAATATGGAAGCTTTTTTTTCGATTTCGACTCTCGATTATATTACTATGATACTAAAGTGTATAATTGTACAAAATATAAGGGAACCAGAGTAACCCTAAGAATTGCAAAACTTAAATGGCAATAGGCAGGGCACATTACTCGCAAAACAGATGGCCGATGGGACCGAAAAGTTCTCGAGTGGCGACCGCGATCTGGTGGAGGCTGCGCAAAGCGGCGTAGGACAGGTCGTTGTGGTATTCTTTGGGGTAGGCCCATGTTCAGCAGTGGACGTCTTTTGGCTGATATGATGATGAGTGATGATGAAAAAATATATACACGAACTGAAATACATATGTAATTCTTTTTCTTTTACAGGAATCAAAAGAATGCTCGGATGATTTAAAAATGCCATTTTTCTTCACAAAAATCATGTGGTTGGTGTATCGACATTTTTTGGTCATTGTCCGAGATCCACGAGTGCAACTCTTGCGTATAATCCAGAAATTGGTAAGAATATACTTGTCTATGTATGCATTCGTCTATAATGGGGTTAATTATAAATAACTCGAAAAATTATGAATTAATGACAAACAGTAAACATAGAAGTGAACAAAGAACAAAGCCGTAGAGGCTTTGGGAACTGTTATCACATTTTTATCAATCAACATATGACACGGTTTAGCCTTCTTCTTGATGTGCCATCTCCTACCGGAGGTCGGCTACCATTAAGGCCATCTGTATTTTAGACAGAACTGCATGAAACACGGATAATGTGCTCAGGTTGAACCATGTCCGGAGATTGTTAAGCCACAAAGTACGCCTTTTTCCAGGTGGTCGCTTTCCTTGCAAAATTAGTCGGAGAAGGTCGTATTTAACATTACGCATTATATGACCAAAGTACTGTAGTATGCATTTTTGATAGTACTCAAGATCTTTAATTTCTTATTCACCATCTGCAATGCTCTTTCATTGGACACTATCCGTCCACGATATTTTTAAAAATCTTCTGTAGAATAACATTTCAAAGGCTTCTAAGGAGTTATTCTTAACTCAAAATATTTGAGTTAAGGTATACAAAGAACCGAAAACACGTAGCAACCTGCCAAACGCACCCTTGTGACTCAACTTTAGAAATGCGTTACGTGCTTGTTCTATACAACACTTGATCTCTACGTTATGATCACATGTGTCGTTACGATGCAGCCAAGATATTTGTAAGAATGGATCTTTTGTTGTAAGATGTTGTGATCTGCCAACTATCATGATCTTCGTCTTTTTTAAGTGTATGCTGAGACCGTAACTTGCACTAATGCTATCAATAGACCGAAGCAAATTCTGCAAATCATTCCAATTTGACGCCAGTAATATCGTATCGTCAGCATTTCGTATGTTGTTCAGCACGTGGCCATTTACTACGATGTCTTCCTCAGAGTTTTCTAAGGCTTCTGCAAATATTGCTTCCGCATACATATTAAATGGTACTGGTGACAGTATGCAACCTTGCCTAACTCCCCGCATGATGTCTACCCTACTGTCAGTGGTCTACTCGTACACGCGCTCTCTGCTGCCAATATACATAGATTCCTAATGAAATCCAAATCTTTGAAATCAAGTCATATGTTGCTGAGAACCTCAATAAGCTTGTCATGCAGCACTCTTTGTCCTATCTCCTTATGTAGGGCTTTGTACTTCATCATAAGCTAAAACTGAAGTATTTTGGCCACGTAATGAAGGGCAACACATACCGGATTCTTCAACTAATAATGCAGGGAAAGTACACGGAAAGCGTAGGTAGTTGAGGTAAAAAAAAAGGTAGTCGAGGTAGAAGGAAAACCTCGTGTTTGACGAACCTGAGAGACTGGTTCCATCTTAGCACGTGTTCCCTCTTCCGTGTGGCAGCTTCAAAAATGAGAAAAGCTATGATGGTCGCCAACTTTCGTAGCGGCACACTAAGAAAAAGAAGATTTCATAGCAGCATATTTCATCTCTCGTCTTTTAATCATAAGTTTGAGTAATAGGTTCGGTAACGGTTTAGTAATGGTTTCGAAAATCTTTGTCACAATTTTCAAAAAGCCGTAAAACCAAATTATAAGGACGCCAGTATAAGACGTTCCATTTAAGGAATCTATACAGGATGTTAAAAGAGCAATGGCCAACCTTTAAAGGGGTTGTGTAATATCGCTTATCAAACAGGATTGCTATAAAATTTTAATAGTAAAAGAAATTTTTTGAAAAGTCCTTTCTCCCAAAAGGGAATTACGATTAAGACCAACAAAGTTCATATTTCGATAATAAGATTATCATAATAAAATAATAATATTTAATCCGAAATTATAGGATTTCTCTAATACAGATAAACATAAATTTATTTCATTATGACGTAATCTTAATACGAATAAAGGAAGTTAAAAAGAAAAAATATAATTTTGAAATAAAACTACAAAAAGAAGTGCAAATAAAGTAAAGTAAGAATTTATTTTACTATAAATATATTTCCTTGTTCCCGCTTTCGAGGAAACAAATGTGTTTCAGCGCCTTTATAATTTTTATTTAGTTGTCCTTGTAGCTGTTGCTTGCTGGATGGCGTGCAGGCGTAGTTAAATACGTAATTCCATTGATTCTACGAATAATTCTGATAATATATAAATAAAACTGGTTCATTTTCTGGTAGAGGCGCTTTAGTCGTCCCGTTATTCGATATAATAAAAAATAGGAATCTTTTTTACAATGAGAAAAGCGTTTTTTGAGTTTTAAAAACCATTCAGGTATAAATTATACAGATAGCATAGCAAGTACCGATACTGCACCAAGGTTAGTGGTATCGGTTCCTGAAAATACCAATATTTCAAGCCCTGACTATATGTATATGTCAAGGGGGTTCCCCATTCATAAAGATATCGAGTAACCTATAGTTTTTATGAAGTAAATGGAGTGTTTCAAATCTTTTGAACGACTTTATTATATACAAATTAAATATAGTATCGTATCTGGGAAGAAAATTTTTTAGTAAGTACAAAAATTGTTCCTAATCTTACGTACCACTTTTTGCAAACTTAATTTGTATAATATGTTTCAGGCTATAGCTTTTACAGCAGGCTTGTGCTTTCTGGGCACAGCACGTTTGACTCAAGCCGGTATCCAAGACGTTCAAGGGGCTCTCTTCATCATCATAGCAGAAAACACCTTCAGCCCAATGTACTCTGTCCTCCACATGTTCCCTGAGGAATTTCCTTTATTCCACAGAGAATTGAAAGCTGGGTTGTACTCTACACCTATTTATTATATCGCTAGGATGATTGCGTTGGTAAGTTTAATAAATTATTTATCAAATACGCCTTATTGACAAGTTGGAAGACAACACATACACGTCATTGCAAACAAGAGTGTTATATATGTAAAATCGCGTGTGCATAAAACATTATGTGTACGCAAAAACAAAAAACAATAAAATGAAAAGAATTTAACTTAAAAAAAAATTAATAAAAGGTAATTTTCCGGAAAAATTGGAAAAAGTGAAAAATTGCACAAATATATTTTCGAAGGCTCATTTTATGTTCTACGTAGATAAATATCTTAGTTTTATTTAGCGTGAATTACAAAATAACCTTGTATATCTAAAAGCCAGATTTAAAACGATTTCACAACAGAAAAAAATCCTTTATAATGGCTCCATCGTTTTCATTCAGCAACTTCAACTTTTGACAGGTGTCAACGTCAAATGTGGAAAATAAAGGAAAAATATTAGAAAAATATCCGGAAAAATATTTCTTTTTCAGAAAAATATAATTGTTTCAAAATGAACATTTTTCCACTGAATAGTATGTTGCCAACTTGACTGCGCTATTTGTGGCCGCGTAAAGATCTTCTCTCGTACAGGAATTAGAGCACGAGGTCATACGAGCAAGTGCTGTATGAACTGTGCACATCTTGTGCGAAGGTGCGAAGTCGATTTGAGAATTCGATTAAAATCACATCCTGGTCATAATTGCTCTCGAAACCAGGTTGGGAGGTGTCCGTTTCCACAGCAGACTTAGTGCCACTTGAATAGTCACCTTTAACTGTACATCCCACTGCTGATAAGTTTTCTCCAAGTATTCCTAATTAGTCGACAAATGTGGTTCATGGGAAGATTCCTTATTACCTATTAACATGATAATTTTGTTTGTCATCTCTACTGTTCAGCTTCTACTACCTCCTGTATAAGAGTATCCGCTTACTCAAAGTACTATTTAATTCTGGGTATATTGATCGTGGTACCAAGTATCCACCATAAGGTGATGTCTTTATGAAAACTAACTCATTATTACGTTCATTTTCATCATTGATCCGATCCGTTGCTTCGCGAATAACATTGGTAAACATTTTCTCTAGATCGTCCCCGTTAACCATGCCATTAAGATGATCTATTAGATTAACGAAAAAAGGCGTATGTTCAAAAGGATACTGTTTCAAATTCGGTAACCGCAGCGACAAGATATGGGGACAATGATTTATTGAACCCAATCTTCTTGTCGGAAATAAGGTGTTATCCGAGGCAATATATATCACAGGTTTCTCTTTAAGAGTAGGACTCTTAAAATGCTGTATAATATACTCCTCAAATATTGTTTCTTCAATGTTGGGAGTGCATTTTCTAGGAATCACAACCACTGCCAATGCTCCATATGGTGTAAAATCGCGTCTGAAATATTCTTCACAGCGGCGGTATATAATTTCCGCTGTGTTAAAAATCATTTCAACTTCGAATCGAAATTTTTCAAAAGTTTCCTTTAACCTCCAGACTGTAACGTTTATTTCCGGTGTGAAATCATTAGTTATTATCAACATGGCGTTGAGTATGTAGTGGTCTAATTGGTATGTGTACCTGAATCTGTCGGGTCTGTTGTTTCGAGTCACATCATTGGAACTATTTGTTTCATTTCTGTTAACGTCGTTGTCACTTGAACTGTTTTCATTCATTATTTCTCTTTTTAATCACTGTTGTTTCTGATTTCATCAACTACTCTAACCAATATTACATGCTCTAACCAATGTAAATTTGTTAAAAGGTATAAATGTCTGATTGCAACAATTTTCACTACTGTAATGACATTCCTGTTCATTCGAAGCACAGATAATTTTCGATAAATTGATAAATAGCGTAAACACGACGATAAAAGGAATACACAGATTCTTTCTTCTGATTCGGTGATAAAACAGAATCTTGAAGAAAAAACTTTAGTAATTTCAAATATAATGCAAGATATAATTATTGATAACATATCTAAGTGCTTACCTTAAATTATGTTATAAATTACAATCGATTAACGTGAATATAAAAAATACTGTTATAAGCTTGTGTGAATAAACAAATACGAATTAATAATATTAAATATTGTTTTAATTTATTTAAAAAACTTTATCCTTAGACAGAACTTCAATATGGCGAATAGAAATTTGAGGTCAATTATATTATTCATTTTTTTTATTTTATTTTTATTTATCTATTGTTGCAGTTCCCAGGGCTTATAGTTGAACCAACCCTCTTCACGTTGGTGGTGTACTGGATAGCTGGTCTCCGAAGCACGCTGTACGCCTTCAGTTTCACAGTCTTCATTGCCATCATGGTGCTTAACGTGGCAATCGCCTGTGGTAAGTTGTATGAACTTAAACGCAAATCGCCTGTGGTAAGTTCATACTTAACACGTTTACTGTCTTTGTTACCCAAACCTGGGATGACAAAAATAATATATTCTTCCACGGGTAGTTCTTTATGCTCAAAGTGGCAGTAGAGCTTTTTATGAAAGAGTTCGTCCAGGGAAGTACTGCTACATTACCTATTTCTGCCGCGAAACAGTAATGAGAGCATTACTGCGTTCCTGTTTTGAGGGGTAAGGGTGCTGGTCATATTATGGGCAAATAGGACTTGTCAACTTATGTCTCAGGGTAACAGGCGCAGTGGAAATGTCCTTCAGATCTTTGCGATTTGAAGTTCTGAGTGGCATTGCAATTGTTATAGCCAGTCGTGTCGTTTACCACCAGGTGCACGCCTTGTTCGTCCCGTTATTTGGTATGATAAAAACATATAATTTTTATTGCAGGGTGCTTTTTCTCATGCGCTTTTGGATCCATGCCCATCGCTATCGCCTACCTCGTACCCTTTGACTACTCTCTCATGATGACTTCCGGTCTTTTCGTCAAGTTGAGGTAATATGATCTTATATGGCAGTGGTTACAAATTATCCAGATTGTTTAATACTCTTCTATATTTCACTCAAATCAATGCATCCAGTTTGCGGCGATCAGTTCTAAGTATCTAGTTGAAATTCAAATTAATATTGTTACCTATTTAGAATAGCCTATCCCAAATGCCCGAAATCGAGGGTAAACACTATTTACAACTAAAAATTTGTACTTATGTCGAATTTTGTTCAAATGTAATGATATTATCACAGAATGTTTATTTGCTTGCACACAATATTTTGCCTTCCTATTAATTTGAAAATTGCATTCAAATTACTGATACAAAAAATCGTTAGATCATACCGACCCATCTAATTATCGACCTATCGCAATCACCTCCATACTCTGTAAGACTATGGAGCGCGTATTGAACAGTCGTCTCCTTGGATACCTCGAAGATAACGATCTCCTCAGTGATCGACAGTATAGTTTTCGCCATGGTCGATCTACTGGGGATCTTCTTGCGTATGCCATACATATAAAGAGCGAGTTTGCCGTGTCTCTCGACATATCAAAGGCCTTTGATAGGGTTTGGCATGATAGCCTGTTAAACAAGCTTCCAGCTTACGGAATTCCTGTTGGCTTTTGCACATGGATAGACGATTTTCTGAAGGATAGGTCAATCCGTGTAGTTGTAGATGGTTACTCGTCTGCTCATCATGGTATAAATGCCGGTGTACCTCAGGGAACTGTCCTCTCCGCCACTCTATTCTTGCTGTATATCAACGACCTGCTGCTGATGCCAGGTATCTTTGGGTACGCAGACGACAGCACAGTGGTAGAGAGTTATGTGCCAGACGCCCGAGACAACAGCGAAGAGATCCGGTGTAAGCGAGAGGCGATGGTCACCCGGTTGAACCTGAGTCTGAAAGCTGCTTCCGACTGGGGAGATGCTAACAGGGTCAGGTTTAATGCGGCTAGAACACAGGCGTGTCTTTTCTCATCAAAACGGAGTCCCCTACACCTTACTCCGACTTTCCGAGGTGTATCCGTGCCGATAAGGGACCACCTTGAGCTACTTGGTCTGGACTTATCATCCAACCTCAACTTTGGGCGATACATCGAGTGCTTGGCAAAAACTGCTGCCAGAAAACTAGGCATACTTTTCAAGGTCAGGCGGTACTTCACACCTGAACAGCTTTTACATCTGTATAAAGCACAAGTTCGATCCTGTATGGAGTACTGCTGCCACCTTTGGGACGGCTCTGCCCAATACCAGTTAGCTGCCTTGGACTCGGTGGAGCGTAAAGCAAAGAGACTTATTAACAATAATCCTCTTGTGGAGTCGAAGCTCCAAAATCTCGATCATCGCAGAAAAGTAGCTTGCTTGTCGGTTTTCTATCGGATACATTTCGGGGAGTGTGCGCAGGAACTTTTCAATTTGGTTCCGCCCTCACTGTTCCTCCTTCGGTCGACTAGAAGGTCCGGAGCACTCCATTCTTATGTCGTTGATATTCCACCTATTCGCACTAAGCGCTTTGCTTACTCCTTTCTGATGCGTACGGCAAAGGAATGGAATGCTCTACTCTCTGTATTTCCCGAAAAGTACAATTTGGGGCTATTCAAGGCTAGAGTGAGTAGGCATTTTTTAGGCAAAAGCGTCCCATCGTCGGCGTCGGTCACATCGTCGCTTAGCGTCAGGTGAGATTGTGACCAAGCGTGTGTCTATTATATATTAAAAAAAAAAGATCTTATACACTTGAATCGATTTTCACAAAAATAGAATCGTACCTAATGCATTCCTAGTAGTAAGTGAGAGTCCACACAATTTCAAGGTGGGTATTGTGAGGAGTTGCTTCTCTTTCGTCTAAAAAAACTTTTAACCAACCATAGCAACTTCCGTATTATTGCGTATAATGGTTTACGCCTACGAAATTGGGTAGAATGGGTTAAAACCCGGGCGGATTGAATGGGCTTTAACCCACTGCCCATCTCTGGTTGCAACTGACCGTCACGCGCAGATGTGATTACGGAAGCGACTGCACGGCACGCGGTCTGTTTTAAGATTTATGTTTATACTATTAGATTTACATTTATGACAGACTTGTGAGATTGTCCGGTCGTTTTGTATTATGGCTGAAGAAAGAGTAAAAAACAAAAGCCAACGGCTACTAGTTCTTCTTTCTTATTTTTAAGTATAGATTGATTTTTTGCAGTTCGATACCAAAATACGTATCCTGGATCCGGCATTTATCCTGGTTAATGTACTCCAATGAAGCAATGAGCATTATACAGTGGGATGGTGTACAGAATATCAGTAAGTAATAATATATTAATAAGCTTAGTACCTACTTATTTAATCTAGCTAGGTCCGTAAAATAATACTGTGCTGTGTTGGTTGCAACGCTAATGTATTGTATGTAGTTATGTTAGTGTTGGGTATGGCAGAAGAAAAATGAGAATAGAGAAAATGCGTTTAAATGAGATCCCACAGAAGAATATCTGGTGTGCGGCTGTGTGACAGAGTGAAGAACATGTGATCCGTGAACAATGTGGTTTGAAAGAGGATATAGTGACAAAAATAGAAAAGGGTATGCTGAGGTGGTTTGGGCACATGGAGCGGATGAATGAATGTAAATTAACGAAAGAAATATATATAGTGATATATTGGAAGAGGATGGCCACGAAGAACATTCCCAGATCAAATTGAGACTGTTCTTAAAAGGCTGGAGTACGTAGTGAAGAGATTGACGAATGTAAGTCAAGCAAGAGAGGTTTGTAAAGATCATAAACTAAATAAAATATTAAACTAAGCACGGTATCATTTTCCTATTTCGTATATAACCCCCTAATCACATGAATATAATAAAATTAAATACGAATTACGTGGGACAAATTATGTGTTGTGTAGAAAATTTTATCTCTCCTAATTAAGCATAAAGAATGTATGGACCAGTTTAGTTCATAGAAAATATTAACCTCTCTCCTAAAAAGCATTTTGTACATTATTTTTAACAAACTTCAAAAAAGGAGGAGGTTCTCAATTCGGCTGTACGTTCTTTGTTTTTTTTTTGTATGTATGTTATGCGATAACTTCGGCGACTTGTGAACCGATTTTGATGTGTTTTTTTTATTGGAAAGAGGGTACTTCAGAAGTGGTGCCAATAAGAAAATATTCTATTCATTTGATTGTCTTTGGACGTCGGTTTTTAGTGCTCTACACTGAGATTATTATGATATAGACATGAGCGCGGCCACGCTTTTCCTCGATTCAGCTCGATCAGGCGCTCCGATCGTACGCACGCGCACGCTTCCGTATGGTATATGTGAAAATGGCGACGCCAGAAAATTACTTTCTAAGATAAAACTTTTTTTTGTAAAATGTAAATTCGCATTTGACCTTCATCTCCCCTGATGGAAAGTGACGATGAGGTCGACGATGAATGAATGCCTATACACTTTTGCCATGAAAAGGCCCAAGTAATAACGATCAAGGAACAAGTCTACACAGGCAGGGAATTCCACTCCATAGCCGTTCGCCATATAAATATGGAAGCGTAACGCTTCGTGCGAATCTTTGGAATATCCACAACATAGAGGTGCAACCCAAGTCTACGCTTAGTCCCCTGGTGATAGAAAGGGGAAAGCGGAATTAAATCGTGTAATTCCATCGCACACTCTCAGTGATATATATCTTGTAAAATACCGATAAGCTGGCAAGTTTACGGCAGTGTTCAAGGCTCTGCAGCTTCGCTTCCAGTAATTCCGAGCCACTAATCTACTTGGCACGGTTGTCAATTGAATCAAAGGTGGCCAGTTGATATATAACAGAGCCATCCTAAAGGTGGCAACAGTACTCCATGCACGACCGGACTTGTGCTTAGTACAGATGAAGCAACTGTCCCTATCTACCGACCCGAGATGTCCCTATCTACCGACCCGAGAGATAGGGTTTTCCAGAGAGACTACGGACTCGACGGCAAGACCAGCGTACAGCGGGCGTCTGTGTCAAGCCCTCCTTTGTCGAGACGCACCTCTGGCGGACCCGGACTTGGGTATGGACTCGCTGGGGCTTGTGGCTAGCTGCAGAGACGGGCATGTTTATCTGCCCCGGTTTTGCATGTGTCCGGGGCGTGTATCTCGTGAGCAGCTAGCGCGTCTTAGTAGCGGTCTAGTTGTGGGCTTGTATGCGAGGAGACGCGCGGGGTACGTAAGTTGCCCTTTAAGTTGGATGCTATGTCCGGACATTGTCGAAGACACTGCGACTGGCATCTCCGGCACTAGCCCGGAGAGCTAGTAGAGCCAGCTCCAGCCGCTTAGGTTATTGAGAACTGGAGAGACGTCAATTTTCGACGTCGGGAAGTGAGCGTGCCTTACAGCTCCGCCACCAATGAGGAGATTTTGGTAGTGGACTCAGAGTCGACGGCTTAACGGTGGCAACTTCTAGTTGTACAAAGCGCAACGGGAAGTGAGCGCGCCCACAGCTCCGGTACCTATTTGAAAAATAGGGAGGTTACTGTATGTGTACCCGGGGCGGCTCACCCGAGGCACTAGCCTCTCGAAGAACCGGATGAAGTCAAGTGACAGAGGTCTGTAAGAACCCTGTACACTGGCTGATCTGGGGTCAGAAACTGAACTAGTAAGGTTCCTGTGCGCGCACAGGTTATAGTGTCCTTCTCGTGTGCCCCAAAGGTAGGTAGGGAGGGTCACTATAATCAAAACTAACGTAGAAAGATATGGTGCTTGTCCCGGTGTGAAGTAACGCCTCTCCCTGGATAGGATCCCAAGCTTCCTTGCTGAATGTTTCAAATCGGCCATGGATTCAATGTATCTGCCGAAGTACAAATTGGACGACGAAAAGTCGGAGTCAGCTCAAAGGGACTCCGTTTTGTGGTGAATAAATACGCCTGCGTTTTGGTAACGTTAAATTTGGCATCGCCCCAATCGGATACTGCTTTGAGTGTCAAATCCAAACGGCTAACCATGGACTCTCGACAAGACTGGATTTCCTGTCCACTGACCCTTGCATTGGTCAAATACCTATCTACAACTGTGTTATCATCAGCATACGCAAAGGTACCTGGATTTAATATATCATTGATATGCAGCAGAAAGAGAGTTGCAGACAGTACGGAACCCTAAGGAATCTATCGCCATATGTTCGGAAGAGTAGCCTTCTAAGACCACTCGAATCGAACGTTCGCTCAAGAAATCCGAGATCTAATTGCAAAGGTCAGTGGGAAGCCCATAAGAGGGAAGCTTACTTAAAAGGTTTTCGTGTCAGACCCTGTCAAAGGCTTTAGAAATATCCAAAGACACTGCAATTGCTTCACCTTGCTTTTCTATAGCCTCGCTCCATATGCGACAGGCATACACAAGAAGATCCCCAGTAGATCGTCCTCGTCGGAATCCGTACTGGCGATCACTGAGGAGGTCGTTGTCTTCAAGGTACGACATTAGACGGTTGTTGAGTACACGCTCCATTGTCTTGCAGAGTATGGAAATGACTGAGATAGGTCTATAGTTGACAGAGTCAGCTCTGTTTCCCTTTTTCGGCACAGGTTGCACGTTTGCAAGCACAGTTACGTAGGACTAGTGCTGGAAATCCATCTGGCCCGCTAGCTTTATTCACGTCTAGATTCCGCAGAGTTCTTCTAAGTCCCTCTTTTTGGCGTATGCAAATTGGCGCCATAGTGCAGCCAGTCTGAGGTAAGATTAGATCCGGACGCGAACTCTTTGCAAAGAGTGAGGCAAAAAGATTTGCCTTGTCATTTGCAGTATAGGCCCCAGCAGAGGTGACATAGAGAGGCGACAAAAAAAAGTTTGTGACTTTATATTTAAAGATATTTTGTTTAAAATAATTTGTCAATTTTTGGCGTCGCCATTTTCACTACGCATACACAACATGGAAGCGTGCGCGTGCATACAATCGGAGCGTCTGATCGAACTGATAAAAAATTTATTACTATAGAAAATACGATATTTTATTCTTTATTTGAAAAAGTATTTGTATAACGGTTTTTGTAAAGACAAACAGCGATATACCGATATACGCCGCCGACGACACTTTTTTGTCGGCGCGCCGCCGCCGGTTGCTCTATTATCGGCGCTGATGTCTATTATGATATCAAGTGACGAACAAGTTGCGGCTGGTGCTAAGCGACACGCCTATTCATAACAGTTGCAGTGCCACTCAGAGCTTTAAATCGCAAAAATCTGAGGGAAGAGCTACCGTGTCCGTCACCCTGTGACGTAAGTAGATAAGTCCTATGTGCCTGTAATTTGACCAGTACCCTTACTTACCCTTCAAGACCGCAGCAATGCTCACATACTACACACATCACAGATGCGGCCTTGTGATTTCTTCTAGTAACCACTATGAGTATTGTACCACACAAAATTGACAAATATTTTACAGTCACTGTAAAACTCATGATATAAGCACTATGGTCTTAAAACATAATTTGGACTGGTTATTATGCAAATTAACTTATCGGATTACAGACACTTAGGTTGAAATCTTTACTTATAAGATTACGGTACTTTAGTATGTTGCCCAACTCAAGCGACTAATTCCACACGTTAAAATGCCGTCACTAAACAAAAAGTTTTGGAAAAACTTTTGAAACATGAACTTTAATTATTTTGAAAACAATGTTCAATTTGAGAAAGAAAAGTATGTGATGCTATTTTTTCGAATTGAAAATCTGTATATTTGTTTTTTTTTTCAAAACAAACCAACGTTTCGAGCCCTTCAGGTCTCATGGTCAAGACCGAGCCCGAAATTTAGATTCAGAAAATTGTTTCTCAAATGTGGATTCAATACAAGGTATATTTGAATAGGAATTATTGAACTTTCCGAAAGATAATACAAAATTTTGTTTGTTTAGAAAAGCCTGTTGACAATTCGAAACAAGGGTTTGTTTGTAAAGAAAAAAGCGCGAGAACGTACTTAGGTATGAACTTGATATTGAAAAAGCGAAATTTTCGTTTAGTAACAGCAACGTTGGTTTCAAAGTACGAAATACAAAATTATTGCTTTTCTATTTTATAGATATTTATATAGATATATTATTATACGATATTTGTTAATAGATCGTTATACTCATTCCATTGTAATATTTCACTTTTTCTCAAAGTTACTCTTATGTACTTGCGGACAGCACTATCAACGACTAAAACGCACCTCTAAAATCTAATACATATTACAAAAGAGCAATTTAAAATTAAAAATGTCATACAATCGGTTACTAAGTAACACTAATAATATTTCCTGCACTGTTTTTTTTTTTAGCCCATCTGTATCCGTTGTTTATGTAAAAAATCAGGTAGTGCGGTGCTGGGGTGCACTCCACCAGGGTATTCCCTACGATACGGGTCTAGCAGGTAAAAGGAACAAAAGAAGTTTTTCTAAATTAATTGTTTAGTTTCATTCATTCGAAAGGTGTTTAATCTGATCACTGATAATGGAGAACTATTGCTTGGTTTTGTCTGTTGTCCTAACACAAAAAGAGGGGGTTCTAAGTACGAAGCCTTTACCACAGGTATAGACACGTAAACGTGATTATGTCTGCTGTGGCATCGTATCTCCCGAACAGACGGAATAATCTTACGGCGTTTTTTATTGACAAATTTAATTGAAATAGTTCTTAACTATGTTAGATGAACACCTGTTCTGCAGGGCTAGCACAATAGGGCGCGACTTGCGCGAAAGCGACACAGAGCGCATGATTTCTATGCGAGAATAGCAATATGTCACGCTTTATGTCGCTCTCGCTCATAGACACAGAACGCGTGATTACTATGCGAGAATAGCAGTATCTCGCGCTTTGTGTCGCTCTCGCTCACAGACACAGAGCGCGTGATTTCTATGCGAGAATAGCAGTATCTCGCGCTTTATGCCGCTTTCGCTCATAAACACAGAACGCGTGATTTATTTGCGAGAATAGCATTATCCTCGCGCTTTATGTCGCTTTCGCTCATAAATATAGAGCGCGTCGTATCTGTGCGAGAATAGCAACAGATATATCGCACTTTATGTCGCTTAAGTCGCGCTTTATCGTGCTAGCCCTGCAGAGGCTTAAAGAGCGGCACTTTTATCAATTAATGTAGAACTCTCATTCATAAAATATATTTGTTTCATTTGTTTTCATTTATTTATTATTGCTTCATGTACATACAATTGATCTTAAAATCTATCACAGCGACAGTACATGAACTCTATTGAGGCAGTGCAATTTATAAATTTAAAAAATAAATTAAATTTGTACGAACCATTCGACATTAATATTTGGACAACATAATCAAGAATTTTATTTTTATTTTTATTTTTTATTTTCATTAACATCCTAAAATAGTCATTAATAATTGAAATCTATGTCTATTTATCATTCAAAATTCATTTCCTGAGTAATAACATTTTTCAATTAGGATTTTGTTAGTTCAATAAACGTGAATAATTTATCCTTTTGTTCCTCTTTAATGCGCAGAGGTATTAGATTATATATTTTAACAGCTCTTTAGTAGGAGCTATTTCTAAATAATTCCAATCTAGGTTTCGAAAGTACCAATACTTTTATTCGATCTTTGTATTCATAACCTTAACAAGACTAGTCGAGTTATTTCACAAAAAATCTTAATAAATAAGTAAGAAAAATGTTTGTGTACTCAAATGTCAGAGCCGGCTTTACCTATGCGGGCGTGCGGAGCACACGTGCGCAGGGTTTTGGGGGCCGTCCAGCGCCGCTCGCGACGCCTTTAAAAAGCCTACGTCCTTCGCAGCGCAAGCGAAGTAAACGGGATATTGCTTCCCAACATCATTTATAATTGCACCATTTGCACCCGATTTTCAGATCACGGGATAAATATAAACTGTAAGTATTCAATTTGAATCGCGTGCCTACTAGAGGGTGCCAGATTGTTGAATGCACCCGGGCGCTAGAAGGACTGGCGCCGGCGCTGACAAATATGAAAAAAATAAATATTTATTATTTATTGACCATTGGCTAAGAAGCCGTCAGTTTAAAAAGATAATAAATAATTAAGAAACTCTAATAAACACACGTAATACATACCTACTTAAACTAAAAATATATACTTGTAAAACCTGTCACAATAATTTACGTTTTTATTTAAAAAAAATCGACCTCAGAAGTTCGGTTACTTACATCTATTTGCTAAGTTTTAATGACATCGGTTGCTGGAAAGTGCGCGAAACCGGATTCATCCCTTGGTTTGCAATTCTTAAAGGTGGAATATTTTCTTCAAATTTAAATGGAGCCAATACTGAGGTACCCTCTGTCCAAAAAAAGAACCATCAAAATCGGTTCACAAAATTGGAGTAATCGCCTATATAACTAATACCCAAAAAAGTGTTTTTATCGGTTAAAGCCCGCCATGGAAAAAAAATATATAATTATAATTACTGTTCATTTATTAAGCATTGACTTCTGAAAGTAACAAATAATTAGGAAACTCAAAACGTAATATACTTATAAATTAAAAAATAATTAGTGCAAAAACTGTAACTACAAACATCTGCCATTTTTTTCTTCAAAAAAAAAGTTACTACACTGTGGTAAGGAATCGACATTCCGCCTCGTATACTAATGAATACCTTTTTATGTTATTAAACTAATTTTTTATTAGAATTTAGTTCTCAGTCAGGATTGAATATAGGCATAGACTCCTTTAATTGTTAACCTGCGTATAAATTGTGAGCTTATGACTAACGTTCATTTAAATTTAAATTTATTACATTTATTCCATTTAAATCTTTTTTTTTCAGCTTGCGCAACAGAACAAATACCCTGCATAAGCACAGGAGACGAAGTATTGAACCAGTATGACTTCCAGATCAGCCATCTTTGGACTGACGTCATCGCTCTCGTTGTTTTGTACTTGGCATTCCACCTTTTGGCACTTATTGCTCTGCAGTATAGAACAAGGAGAAAATAAAACGGTTTTGTTGATAAATATAAATGTAATGTTGTAAATTTATTATAGAAATTAAAGAAAACCGAAGGTTCAGAGTTGGATAACACTTGTTGATAATGTTTAATAGCCTCTTGGGGCGGGTACGTCCCTTTTTAAGCGGTCTATTAACAAATCCTGAAAAAGGGGCAAGCCTTGCTATTATTGGCATCATTTTGGGAAAATGTTATTGAAATGAGATTAATTACGTATTTCAGAATATTCAGAAAATTTCAATTACCTATGAGCTTATAAGAAACCAGGCTGGTTCCATTTATATTATTTTTTATTTATGTCAACAAAATTTAAAGGTTCTTAAAATTCTTCGGAATTCTTATTTCTAAACTACAAAGAATTACTTCTGCTAATAAACATTTACTGCACTTTAAAACGGATACAGCTACGCGCATAGACAAAAGGATGGGTACGCGATACACGTAACCCCCCTTTTTGCAAAATATACCCGCATTTTCTATGCGTGCATTCACTACAACGTACCACGTCATTCATCTAAAAAATTGCGATTTGTTTTTAAATTTGCATTTTTATTTTTATATTGATTGCAATCAATATTATGATGTTTTACTATCAGGATATTTTTGGGAAATTAGTTCACTAATTTGCTACATTAATTATTACTAATTCAATTTTATTTAATTTTTTATTTGTTTATTATACATTGATTATAATTATAAAGCAATTAACTTAAAAAGTTAACAAAGAATAAAAAACTCAAAATTAACATTTTGTTTTGTAGCTTAAACTAAAAACTAAATAATCTTTGGTTTTTTGTTTTCTTGTAGTTAAACCTCGCGTGGAGCGCATGGATTTTTTTTTAATTATTGCTGGCCATACAAAGTCCTTCAGCCGAAAACAAACGTTTTATTATATTTCTGTAAATATGGCCACCACAAAGAGGATAGGCAATTTGAGGCGGCGCGGCGCGCGGCGTGCTTGGATTGACTCGGGATTCCTTAGAACGGGTATTTTAGTTCGAGATTCGTATAATTTCGCTTTTTAATCTTCGATTAAGGCACAATAGCACTATCCTATTCCACTTTAAACTAGATTTCACAAAATAATTGAAAGTCAAAATAAAAACGACACTTTTCCCTCCAAAAGGCCCAGAGCGAATCCCGCGCATGGACCAGGCGTGGTGATGCCAACTTGAAATTATTTGGGCAGATTATTTGTTTTCTATTTTTCGTGCGGTAATTATTTGGTATTGCGATAAAACAAAGATATTCTTCTTTATACCAATTTCGTGATATGATTAGTTATGAGGTTTCAGGTATTTGAAAATAACTGTGTGGCAACATTGACATTGAACAACAGATACATTATATTTCTGAACGAACTGTCGTTAGTCGAAATAATTGATTATAGCTTATACTATACCTACTCTACTTGTGTCATATCTATATCATGTTACTTCTATGCAAGATTTTTAATTTTATGTCGGTTATGAGATTTATTTGAATGTCTTTCGAAGCATGATTGAAATGTATTTTATTTTATCACGATGTACATAAAAATGCCGTGCTTTTTAATTTTTATTATTTTGTCTTTTCCTAGTGATAAAGATTTATTTTGTAGTATAAGTTAGTTTGTAAAAAAACAAATCAACATACAAACTGACCATTCATAAAAATTTACAGAATATCGCGCACTGAGAATTATAACGTACATATGCTAAAAACTTTTTTTTTTTATTTCTAACGCCATCTTGGATTTGGGAGTACGAACTTTGCAATGCAAAAACCCCAGTTTACGTTGTCTATCTAGATCTCGTTAGATGACATAGTGACGTTATGCTATCGACATTTTTTGGTAGTGACAAAGATCGCTGGTTGTCAAACAATTTACAAGTAACTCCCTGAAGGATATCGTCATTTTTGGATAGTGTCGTTTTGCACTAAGACTAATATAGTACAGGATTGCTGAGCTACGCAGATTACGCGGGATATATAGAAAACATTCACTAAAATTATCCTTTTATTTTCGAAGTTTAAAATTAAATTTCATGATATAATTTGTTTTAATGAATTCTTTATGACGATATTGCATAATAAGAAATGTTAATTTACATGACAAGCTTACCTACTTCCTAAAAAAATCCTTTATTGTATTGTCATAGGTGAAAATTTATATAATACTTCTAAATGTAGGTCCTCTTTTATTGTTGCTGAAAACCGCATTCATAAATCTTTGTTAAGTAAGAAATTGCAATAATCACAATTTTCAGAACTTCAATTGCTCATTACTCAAAATCTAATATTTTGCATCGTGTCACTATCATTCTCAGTTTGCGATATAATTATTTAATAGTAGCCTGAAAAAATGTTACTCCCTCTCAAAAGGCCATAGAACACATGAAAATGAACACAGATAATTCTATTATAAAATAATATTACATAATGTACGTTGCTGTTTTACTGTTGTTACGATGCGTTAACGCCATCTGTGGTACCAACACATAACTTATGTGTAGATCAAAACATCCTACTGCAGCGTCTAGGGGAAAAAGTTCAACCTTACATCAGTAGATGACGCGACTATCGTTTATGTTTTTCTACCTGACCGGCACGGTACGCAATGCTGGGCGCAAGCGTAGTTCGAACCCGGCCGCCATATTCGTCGTGTCAGACGGAGTGCAGTGTGCGGCTGTGTCATGTTTTATCGTAAACTGCATACAACTTATGACATCGAGACATCAATGGTGCTTACTTTATTTAGCGAATACAACGAATATGCGATTTGATCGAATCTTAAATGGATACTCGCGTCGTTTTTGCCGAAACAAACGTGTAACGAACTGTGCATTCGTGTTTTTATGATAACAATGTTTTAACAGTAAATCCTCGGTCGTGTATTGCTTTAGTAAATTGGTTAATCCCATATGGTAACTGGTGCAACTTGGTATTGTTATGCAATTTAACATAGCCGTGACCTTCTATCGTGACCGTGCTTTTTGAGGTTAAAATGCAGCTTGGATTTTGAGCGGCTGCGCCGAGCCATCAGGTTAGTAAGACGTTCAGTTATTTTATCTGCTCAGATAACACTAAGAGTTTATTTTATCATGCCCTATATTCGGCTTGTTTACACCTAATTGGTGTTATTTAAATTTCGATTGCGTTCGACACGCACTTTAATTTGAAAAACATCTACTGTTATTTTAATATAGAATGACAATGACAACAACGGAAAGACCATTTATTTGAAAACAGAAACCGTTCCAAATTCGAATATCTTTCTTAGTAGGTAGGTATTATACATTGTCGGAAGGCATTGTTGCTTTTCTGCCGACATCGGTATGTCGATATCGTTCACATCTGGCCTGGGCCAAGTGCGTGTCGAAAGGGCGGCAAAGTTAGTATTTTTATACAGAACATATGACGTGTAGTTGTGGCCAGAATTCTGAATATGCAGCAATTATGGTGACGAGTCGGTTGCCGGGGTCGGTTGCCGCTAGTGGGCCCGAGTGCGTCAGACTCGCCGGGTGCGCGGGAAGCGAGAATGCAACCTCACTACAGGATTACAAAGGGACTAAAACAGCTTCAATAGGAAGCGTGGTTTTAGTTTGCTTATCCAAAACTTCGTTTGAACGCAAACTTTTTGTTTTGAACATGTGCCGTTATTTAATTACATCGATGTAATGGAAGCAAGAAACACTGCTCTGTCTTCTTAAATTTTTGTAGGCATTACACACATCCAATAATTTTTTATTACACAATACCGTACCTACTAACAAAAATTGTGTCCCAGTGATGAACTTCGTCTTTGATTTTTATACTTAATCTTTCATTATTTACGAATATATCCTGCAAATTTAATGCTACAATGAACCTCACTAGACCGTTTTACTGAGAAATATATTAAAGACTGTTACAGGAAACTGTAACATCGGTTTACGAGGACAAGAACAGTAAAATATGGATAAAATCATAAGAGAATTTAATAGTTTACCGCCTAAGGAATGATGTTAATCTGATTGAATGCAAATAATAGACGAAGTTATGAATAAAATTCTCAAAAAATTACCACAGAATTACATAGTGTATTGATCTGTTTTTACGGCCAGTAACATTAGTTATCGGAATTGCACTCAGCTCTGTTGTCACTCACGTTATCTAGCAGATAACACCGCTTCAAATTAGATAGGTTCCCAATGTTCCCCAACATTTCAATAATTTCAGATTTTATCATATTACAAAAAGTATATTATTGCAGAGGCTGGGAAGTAAGGGATTATTGGACGAGTACGAGTTAGCCTTGTATAATACAAGTCAAGCAATTCCCGTTCCCGCCGAGGCATGTATAGAATTTTTCTCAAACTATTTATGTGAGGAAATAATAAAAGACTAAAGAGAGGAAGAAAAAGTAAACAAATGTTAATTGTCATTAAAATTTATACAATACAAGTTCTGAAAGAAAATGTTATTGTTTTTCTAGGCACATTAATATAGTCTGCTGAACTTCTGATGATGTGTTTGAATGTATATCCATTGCTGTATTTTCGTTGTCGTTCTTCTCACTAGCTCTCATTTTCGCAACCAAAATACAAAAAAGACCAAAAAAACAAAAGAATACCAAAACACTTTAGCTTAGGTGTTACTGCCATTTTTTTTTTTTTTTAAGTAAGCTGTACGCTAAGTATTTTTAATTCTCGCAATTATGGACACTGGGCAGTTGACTGTATGAGTTTTTGTTACTGTTGAGAGCTTGTTTACATAGTTCATTATTAGTAGGTAGATTTAAAAGTTCAGGGAAGAGGATCGCAATGGATATACTTTGCAGGCCTTGGCCGGGAAAAAGTTGCATGGACCATAACTGAAAACTTTCCGTGTTCGTTTTTTGAAAGTAATGCACACATTTCCGAGTATGTTTGAGAAAAATAAATTTTCCGAGAAATGAAATTACGATATACCAAGAAGATCAAGACCGTATAATACCGACACGCCATTCAAATCAAGGTAATCGAGATCTTGTCTTTGTATGAAATGAAATACATATTATCTCAACTATTGCATCTGTAATAGCTAATCGAGATTAATAAGTTACGGAATAATGTAAATAATTGACTGAAGGTGGCGTTGCATGCTTATAAATGGACCTAATCTGTCCTATCGAGGTGAACAGCTTCATTTCACACTTTAAATATGGGATGAAACAAGTAAATCTTACCTTGGTTGCGAGCGAAATGTTAAAAGAACCGTTGACTTACAGAAAGGCCTAAATAAAAAACTCATACTTGCTTATCAAGTCTACAGCAGTGTCGTTAAAACTAATGCTCAAAAACCTCGCACGCCCTTTTGACCCTCGCTTACCGTGAAACAAACACCATCTGTCTTGTTGGAAAGCTTCTTAATTAATAAAATTATCTGTAAAGTTTGCTGCGAAATAAATTAGGCATTACCTCATATCTTTTATCGCATTTTATTTATGAAAGGTATTTGCTTTTCATTGTTAGTCGTATCATAATTTAACTTGTACACTGTCACTATCTATTTAACTGCCTCCATCGCCGAACGGTTACCATACCGGACTGCCCTGCAGAGCTCCTAGGTTCGATTCCCGGGCCGGGAGAAATATTTGTATAGCCTACATCTAGTTCTCTCGTGAGTTTGGGTGTAATTTGTGGTTGTCTATATGTGTCCATGGCACCCGCGACACAGGGCTTCCCTAGTGCGGGGCTATGTTATGTATGCTATGCTGAGTGTGTGCATTATTATTATTTTCTTACAATCTCAAGAAACTTAAAAGTTTAATTATAAGTGTCAATTAAATAAGCTCTGTCTTCCTTATACGAGTAGCTTGATGTAATGCCAGTATTCTTGTTTGAAACTTCACGTCCTTATGCAGTGAATCAATCTGCGTGCTCATCTAATGAGACCCTAGTTTCTACGGGAGCCTTCTGTCATTTAAGGATGGGATTAATTAAATCCGTGCCTCCATATCCGCTCTAACCTGTTACGCCAGGATAAGTGTAATTTATAAAGATTTAAAGGGTTATTTAAAATGTTATCTCGGAAATATTTTTCTGTTTGTTCTGACCAGAGATTTTTTAATTCGTACGTCGGGTTAAAAGGCTTGCATTTAATTGCGCAATCTGTACTGGTTCCAGTTCCGAACGTGATTGCAGATAGAACACGAAGTTGACGCTTATGAAAGAGCATTTCTGCAAACTTCCGGTGTATATGAGTAATAAGTCTCTTTTAAAAGGACTGTACGTGTCAAAATCGAAGTCTAGGTGATATTGAGTCGGACTAACGAGATGACGCATTGATCGCTGAAAGGTACAGATAAAGATTTGAAAAGACTCCGGCTCTGCAGACTTCTAAAATTCCAAATATTAAAACAAAGACTCTTTGTGCAATTTGCGAAACGTTGTTTCTAAATCGGGTTGCACATAAATCCCGAGTCCGATGAACTCTGTAATTAGCAGGTTACGTTCCGAGAAGGTGAAAGGAGATTCTTGCGTGGATACTCTTTTTTTTATTGACCACCTACGGAATTATAATAGTGAATAATTCACTGACCGTCTCGTGCAGTGTAGGTTACTCGTACGGTACCAATTACTGCAACATCGGTCAAATTAACAGACAAGTGAAAGTTAATTACATGATGATCATAATGATAATCCACGGTGATCCGAAGAATTTTAATTTTGTATGTGTTGTGTGTCCAATATCCAACACTAGGCTACGGGTCAAATATCAGGGAAACAAACGGTGTGTCGAAATTTATTTTATACCAGATTTTGCGTGAAGCGAAGAAATGTTGAACTGGTTTGATGCTCGTTAAGACACGCCGTAGAGTCTCACGTATCTGGACAAAAAGCAAGTCGGGAACAGGGCCGACTTGTTTTGGGACAATACTCCGACTGACACTTGAATGCCGATGCGTTTACCATATGACATCTCATAAGCTACTCGTGGGGATTGTTTGAGGAATGTGGAAAACTGATTTTTTTGTTTGAACATCAACTGACCAGGAGTTTGTAATTTTATGGTCAATAGAGACCACCCTGGATTTCTTAAACAAACCATCGTAATATACTGCTATTTTTTAAACCTTTTCGAAATAGAAACAGAGAAGAGAAACACCAAAGCATTGTTCTTATTTTAATTACGAAATTTAAAGATATGAAAAACAAAGCATCGTACAATTTTGTTGTTTAAAACCACGCAAATAAGCTTGGAAACAAAAGAGTCATTGTTCCATTCTGAAGGTCATTGTAAGATGGAGATAAGTTTCTAAGGAGATTCGAGCATTTCTGCGAAATGTACTAGGAGATGTTGAGATCTCTCAAAAAGGAATACAAACAAAGGTGTGAAGTGTTTAGTAGGACAGGGTAGTTGTCTTGTGGTAGACCAGTGTAGACAACGCTCCAGCCTGTAGTGTGTGGGAGGGAGTTCTCTATTAGCGCAATCAATGTAACATATACCGGTAATCCGCGAAGCCGACCACAGTAGGATCGAGTATCTCTGAATCACTCCGAAACCTTTTGTAGACTATTTTTAAAGAAATTATACCAGATTGATTCAATTTGTAACCCAGTGACTCCACTTTTCGATGAATTTTTAATATCGGTTTTGCAATTTCATTAACAATTACATAGATGACATTAAAATAGTCGAAAATATAGAAGCTGAAGATTTATTCAAAGGTCAGTTTTTGCTTCAAGTTAATTTGATACAATACTTCTAACTACCGTGCACGCCGAGGCACTTTGTCTCGTATGTATCAATCAATTAGGCCCGATAATGCCGTAACGGTCGTTGCACATGGCTAATATTACCGCCAATAAACTGAACCTGTTCTATTGAAAACTTACATTGCGGCACTTTTGTTCAGTCGAGGAAGTATCAATACACCAATTGGCAGGAAATTGATTCAGTTTCGTAGTTCGTTTAAAACCTATTATTAGTTGTTTCCTGCGAGAGAGAGCGACGTTTTATGGAATTGAAACTAGACGTTCTACGTTTCAACTAAATTACCGTTTCGAAAACTTTGATATT